AAATAAAGTACCTACATATTCGAAACTCACACAGACGTAGATGCATACGTTTCAAACTACTGTACAGGAATAGAATGAAAAGGCCATTGTAAATACCTAATGCTGAAGGTGACGTGGGCTTCCAATGTCCAATAAACACTATTAACTTATGCAATATACGCTATTATTTATTTGTTTTTAATGAGCCATAATAAATCTTACGATCTGCTTCAGATATTTAATAAACGGACCGTAAACCGCAAACGAGCCTATTTTATTTTATAATTTAATCTTTAGTGATATTTAAACTCTATTCACTCTACCTGTAATCAGCTTACAAATCTTCTTCTTTACCAGAGGTATATTTTATCGTAATATGAACCTACCTTAATAACATACTAGCTAATTTTAAAGTACCTACATACTTGCTAAAGAAGCAGGTATGTAGGTACTATTTACCTGCAAAGATTTTTAATTGCGTAAAGTCCCGATTATGTATTTAAAATATAAACATACTGTAGGAAATGTATAGTTTTGACCAAGTGCAGTACATAAAGTACTCTATGTTATAAGTTAGCAAATAATCTCAGGTAGCAAAATTTATTTAAATCCGTACAGCGATGTAAGCGTGTTTATGTAACAAACATCCAAATATCTTTACAAGTTTTTAAATTTATAATATTAGTAGGACTAGCTGTTTAACATGGTTTTGTTTAAAATTATAAAGTACAGGGGCAACATGATCCTCAATAATGAAAACACATGAGCAATGGGAATATCATAAGTATTTATTTATTTATACTTTATTGTACACATTAATAATACTTTATTGATAATAAAAATTAGACAGAGGTAAGTAAATGTAAAGCTGAGCTTAACTATAAAAGAGTTCTCTTCCAGGAAACCCAAAGCGAAAAGGATGATCAATATCATTATGATATGGTTATTTTGCGATGTTTGTTATACTGTTTTTTTTTTAATGAATGATAATTTATTTATTTATTAAAAATAATTCTAACATTATAACAACAAAAGCCAAATCAATGTTATAAATGTAGTGTGTTGACATACAAAATTATAATAAATGTATTTAACCCGACTCCAGATATTTCTGAGCCGCTTCTAAAATCTTTGGCAGGCTACTACTAAAAATATCAGTGATGTTTATAATATTATTTAATAACCGTACTACGTGAGTTAAGGGAGAAATGACAAGTGAAGATGAAGCAAGTTAGTTAGCCCAACGTGACAAATTCAACAATAAAACAATCACGATAGTTTTCAGGCGGAACCGCGAGGAGGTTGACCTGTTAGGATATATTGGTGAAAATAGGATTGTTAACCTGCACTAACAATACGCTCCCCCTTTGGCGGAGCTATTTATGTGAAGGAGGATAGAGGGCAACAAAATATCTCTGTTATATGACCTTAGTTCTCAGGAATGGCAATGGGGGATATCATGGGCGACACAATATTCTCTGTTATGTCCATGGCACTATAAATGTCTATAAGTGACGATTACCACTTTATAACAGATGACGCCGTCAGCTTATTTGCCATTCTGATTCATATCATAAAAAAATATACACGATGTAGCTATGTGATATAATCTTATATGAATTCTTAGAAGATATATTATTATTTACATAAAACTGTAACGTTAATTTATAGCCGGATGAAAACTCTACAGTTGGCTTATAAATATGACTAAATGTATTGTCAAGTATATTTTCTTCGAATATGGCTAAGAATAAACAAAAAATAAATTAATTTAAATAGATACGTTGCCAAAAATAGACTAGCAGTTGGTGATAATGACACAGTCAAAATATTGGTTAATGTTGCTATCTTATTATGTAGGTAAGTACGCAGAAGTACTATAGGCTGCACAGTATGTTCTATAGTACATAGTTTATAGGTAAGGACTGCCACTAGGTTTGACAATTGACACTGAACCCTCAGTTTTTTTTTTTAAATGGATGATAATGGAATTGTAACCCCACCCGCGCTATCGGTATATACCGGCGGAGCACCAGTGAAGGATGACAGATGAGGATGAAGCAGGTCAGTTAGCCCATCGTGATGAATTCAACAAGAAATGTTCCATTTCTAGGGGGAACCACGTGGAGGTCCCCCGTAATAAGGATATATTGCTAGCTATAGGGCTGTCAATCTCCATTGCTAACAATCCTTTTCCCCCTTGTACCCTCAGTTTACTCCTGTAAAATAAAACATGAAATATCGTTACTACAACCATCCGTACTAATATTATAAAGAGGAAAGATTTGTTTGTTGGTTTGTTTGTTTTTATTGAATAAATTTAAAAACTATTCACACGATTTAAAAATTCCTTCACCTATAGAAAGATAAACGCATGGGGGATAGTAACGTAGGCTATATATTTTCTGTTATGTAAAAAATGGCACTATAAATGACAATAATATCAACAAATAAATTACTTAAGGGAGAAAAAGGATGGTTTTGTATGTGACAAAATTAATATGAGACCAAAACGGTAGCAACTTCTATCAAATTTAAAAATAAATATTAAAATCAATTCAAAATTGCCAAAGATATCGCGTATCATAGAAAAATATTCCAGGTGAATTGAGAACCACAATATTTGTAAATTTCTTAAAATAAAAATTATCTAGTACCTAGCATGTCCATTATCTCTTATCGGAATAAAAACTATTCTATCTCTCAAGTTCACGCAAATAATACATATTTACAAAATCTCATTAAAATCGGTTGGACGGTTTCAAAGATTAGTGTAAACCAGGGTTTTTTCAACTTTTTGATTTAAATAATTCCATGGACCTCTGTCAAGAAACATTTTAGTTAAGCACTAAAATTTTGGAAAAGAATAAAGGCTTTTTTATATTAAACTTTTATTAATAGTTTCAAGGGAGTCTATTGAATTCGCCGCTAGAACTAATTTACTACACAATTTCCTAATAAATATACTTAAAGTTAACTGACCTACTACGGACCTCTGATACGTATGCTATGGACTCCTAAGGGGTCCGTAGACCCAACTTTAAAAAACCATGATGTAAATAAACATCGTGTCAAAGGAGTTTTTGTATTATAAGATTTTCACAACTCCTTATTAGCTCTTTGGTAATAAATTGTATAATTACGAAATTGTTGCATGGTCGTATAAAGATCAGCATGTTGTCTAACATCGCAGGGACAAAGTGAATCCAGTCAAGTGCATTTGAAATAAACATACATGCTCCACTAAGCGTTGCATAAGGAAATATGCCTGCAGCTACTTATTTCAGCGTACCTAATTGAAAGTTTAAAAATAATAATGACGATTCTATGTCCAGACCTGAAAAAAAAAAATTTATTTAATACAAAAACCCACAGCTCTTAAAAAAAACAACTTACATGATAAGTCTTTTGTAAATACAGCTAGCTAACGTATTTTAATTATATAAACGAAAATTATAATTTTAAATCAAGATAGGCAAGTTAAAATGGGTGTATACAAGTAATGTAGTAAGTGCATGTATGAAAGAAACTCTGTATAACAATGAATGTCCATAAAGTCAGGTAAATTAATATACAAAATAAATAAAATCCATGTTGCTACAATTCAGATATTCACAGCAATGATTAAGTAATACAATTTTATGGTAACCAATTGTAAAGAGGTGTAGATGTATGAGTGGGTAAGGTAGTGTGAATTATAGTGTATATGTAAAATAAACTGGGTCATCCCTAATCTAAGAAAAAAAAAATATTGATAAATTATTAATAACTAAATTTAATTATGATACACATCTTTTAATCATTATACATCAAGTTTCGTTTTGATAGGTGAGATAAGACAATGAAATTACAGGGTATAAAACATAACATCTAAGTTCTCAGGAAAAGCAACATTTGAAAGGTACTGTGGCCATTACAGTGTGTTCTGTCGCATCAATGTCATGTCAATTATCACTTTCTATTTAAACAATTTTACTAATATAATAAAATTATAGCTAAACACACATTTTATTATATTGTCTGTACTGTATATAGAAGATATTTAAAAAAATATATGTAAGAGGTTTAAATAGTAGCAGTAGAAGCTAAAACAATGGTTTCTAGAAGTTTTGTCTATCTGTCTGTCTGTATGTTTAATTCGGCATCATGGAAACACTACGTCATGAAATTTCATAAGGTTTTACAGTTATATTCCTGAAGGTCTAACTTAAAAACTGATATATATTTTATCTTGATGTGACATTTGAAAGTGATCTATTTTATTCATTTTTCTACTTCTGAAATCCACGAGTACGAAGCAATGAGAAAAAAGCTAGTGTTATATATTTTTGATGAAATCATACCTAAATTATTTATTGAGTCAAGAATCTGATTTTCGAAACCCTCGTTTGTGAAAGGCATTACTACAATATTGTGTTCTAAAAACAAGAACGATGCTCTATAAAACGAATCATTCTTTACAGAGGCTACTATTCTAAAAATATTAGAACACAACATTATTCCATTTTCTACTTGAAAAACAGCATTAACGTTTAATATTGCTTCGAAAGTAGGTAATCATTGGATCAGCACGATAAGCCTCAATCGTTTTGAATATCGGGACCATTCGAAATAATTCGCCGTCTGCTGATTTAGTGGCGTCTGCTTAATGCGGTCTCGCTTTTATTCTAGTGTACTTACTGCCTCTAATATTGCAATGAAATTAAATAAATTCGTGACGATTGCACGCAAGGCCTTGCTCACTGAAATAATCGATAGTTATCATTCCCGCGTTGTCATAATTTATATATCTATCTTCTTTATATTTATGTGTTATCATAGATCACTAGCCATGTGGCCGATGAGAATTTTCATTAGTAATTTCCATACAATTTTTTAAATTTTGAATATTTAAAATGCTATCGTACGTCTATTATAAATACATGTACAAACTGTGCTTTGTATATTAATCAGTCTCTCTTAGGGGAGGAGTATTCAAAAATATCATTTTAAAATTTGTGCCTCAATAGTCCTTAGTTTGAACTTACATCTGTGCGGTATGGCTTATTCGATATCAATACAATTGAATAAATACTGCAAAAAGTACATAATTATTAATCATAATAAATATAAGAACATTGGATTGAATCGCTAATATACAAAACTTATGAGGAGTTAAATCACTTTTGTTTATTTCAGTTACAACCAAGTAGATTTGCGAAACTCAAAATGTTGTCTGTTGGGCACGGCAGTCTCTGTCACGCGAACACGACACAACATTTAACCCACCCAGGGATATTTTTTCCAACTTAACTGCCTGAGGTGTAATTAGTCTATTTTAGTCCTATCACAATGTAAATAAGTAGCAATCTATATAAAGCTATTTTATTGTTCTCTGACGTCACTTGTAACGCGAATGGAGAGACTGCAGAGTTTCGGTGCAGTTTACGATCGGGTCGCACACGCCGCGCCGCGTAACCGGTTGCGTAGCAATAGTTTTTCTCGCGGCGCGTCACAGGGTGAGAGCGCACGGAAGCGAAGGTTGCGCCCGTGACCGCGCCCGCCCGCCGCGATAGCGTCCGCCGTCCGTCGTCGCAGTATCGCTCCGCGCTCGCTGCTTCTCGGACCTCGAACCGTATCTATAGTACAACGTGCACGAAGACCCTGGATGTGCCCCGCTGAACCCAGTGAAGTGATGTGCCACATTAGCTGACGATGTGTGAGTGGCGAATGTGTAAAGTGTCTTTATGCGCAAGAGGTGCGTACCGGCGTAGGTCTGCGCGACCGTAGCCCGTCATGTGGACGCTGTCGTTGGCGCTGCTGGCCATCGTCACGTTTGGCGGTGGATCCAGCTTCTCTCCCAACAAGGAACTATTAGAGTGTGCAAGGTTCGTCTATAAAATTCAACTTCGTAGAATTCTCAGCTCTGTGACCCAATAACGGTTAATTGTTTAACTTGAATACAATGATTACCTAGACACTAATAGATAAAAATCATGACAGTCAATAACTGAATAAATTTCGCGAACGTGATCAGCGCTCAGGCCTCGAATGAGCTACAAAAATAATTTAGATGGGCACGCGAGACAGCTGTCTGGTACGACCGCATTAGTTGGGCATTAATAGAGACAAATTGTTATTATTCCTTGTTAAGTATTTCTTTAAATAGTTAATAATTTCACAAAATTAAGGATAGTCAATTGAAAAGTTTTAAAATATGTACATATAAAATGTAATTGATATATAAAATGACATAAAAATAAATTGATACCACTGAAACTAATAAGAAACAAATATTGTAAAACAGGTACTTGAGTGTGTAACAAAAATTAATTTATTCGTTTATTTGAGAAACAAATACAAAGAAAATACTTTTCAAATTAAATAAGGTTGACAATAAATGTGGATATCTGTTAAAAATAAAACACGTGTAAATCGCAATGCGATTCTGGCAGCGTCCGCGCCACGAGATCGCCCGGTGGCCGTTGGCGGCCGCTGTCGCCCCACACGGGCCACGGCGTCGCTCGGCGTCGTTTTGGCAACAATACTTGTTGATATAAACACATAATCCACTACTGCAATATGCACAAATAATCACATATTACGGTATTTATATTAGGGATGTGTAATTTACAGCGATATCTATATATTGTAGTTACAATATTAGGAGAGTAACAGCTCTATAATGTCGAAATGGATATAGATAGTCTAGTATGAACGGTATCAAAATGGGTGATGAACTTTTTCCATCATCAATTTATACTTAATATAGATATAGGAGCGGTACGAATATTACCTATGTCTAAAATATATCAGCTACGTATGATGATTTTAGGATAAAAAGCACCACTCACACAGCCCCAAGTCATGGTTTATCACATTCTGTACCGTCCAACTTAATACTCTCTCAGAGATCCTTCTACCCCGTGCTCCTAAATATCAGTAAAATGTATAGTGTATATTGAATACAATTGGCAATTATTGTTAATATTTCTATATTAATTTTATATACAAAACTATAGGTTATGTTAAGCACTTTTAGTGTATGCATAGTATACCTTCATTAGAGCATAATATTGCTTTCTAAGGCTCAAGCCACACGCAGCTATATGAACAAATTTATACAAAATATACAGAAAATGTTTTTTCTTCTCCTTAAAACACACTGACGTAGCCAGAACACAAAGTTTAGACAAAAATATCAAAAGTTGCAAATATAAAAACAGTATATAATTTCTTAAACTAGGTTAATTAATATAACATATTGGGCACTATAGGTATTTTAAATATATTGTCATTACTAGTAACAATAGTTTGAAAATAAAGTGATTTCTAGTACCTACTCAATTATACGTGTAAAAATAAACACACGAAAGGTTATATGAATGGCGCTAAAAATTATAGTTTTGTGTCTTTGTTTATTTATATTATTAAGGCAAATATACAAACTTAATATGACCTATGACTAGTTTGACAATACAATAGTCAATAAAGTTTGCACAAATTAACTCTAATACCATAAAAATGAAGAAATAAATGAAAGGTTCACCAGGAACCAGGAACCAAAGGGAGACTTTGTACAAAAATCGATTGCTTGGGTACTTCTGTCCCATTCGTGTTTCAACCGTGAAGCAGCTGTGTTTGCATGGCTATGTTTCGGTCTGAAGGATGGATATGGATATTACTGGGTACAGAGGAATAACACCTGAGTCCTCAGGAATGGCAACGCATGGAAGGTATCATGGGCGAAACAGTAGATATACTCTGTTATGTCCATGGTACTGCTCATGTCTATAGGCGACGGTTACCACTTTCCATCAGGTAGACCGTCAGCTTGATTGCAATTCTAAGTTGTGTAAAAAAAAGGTTCGCTAGTTAGTACCAATACCACTGCACTTTAATATTTCTAATTATCTTGATCATAATTCCCATATCTTATAAAACATAAAAAGCGCAACGCAAAAATCTAAAAGTAATATTTTCATCGTCATTAACAAGTTGAGACCTCTGATGATATATTGAAAACACTATTTGACAAATTAAAAACTTTGAGTTTTTAATTATCAGAAAAGAGATAAAACCGGCTGAAACTTTGGAAAATTCTATGGAAAGTAACCATTTAGCAATATAATACCAACACTAATGGCTGATTACTTCTTAAGAGATTAATACAGATACTAATATATCTGATGTGATAATCAGAGGAACTAGTCAACTGTTCCCAATGTGGCCAACAAAAGTAACATTTCACATGCCTGCATTTCGCCGAGCATATTAGATTTAACGTGACAGAACGCGAACCTACTTACTCCTTTTTACTGATGGTAAATTAAAATGTTTAAAAATTTGTAAGGAAAATATTTAAGTTTCCTGTAAGAATTTTTTAGATATATTGAAAGCAGGCACACAAATGCACAAGCTACTTGGTGTACTTCTTTTTTATCATTTCATTGAATGCTAAATAATATATATAGGATTATATATCGTATATAGTTAATAATTTTATTTTTTGAATTTGATAAAGGTACCTATAATTATTTAATAAATATTTACACTATTTTCCTAAATATTTTACACTATAACTTTCTTAATTATACAATACTATCATACGTACTTGTACATAAATTTGTCCATTACGCTAAAGTTGTCTTGAAAAAATTGCTCTCAGCAATAAGACTTACTGTACTTATACAAATTGCATCGTTATATTTATTAATTGTCTTGCTTATATTTTATTTTATTTTGTATACACATACATTCATTCTAAAATAAAATCTCAACATTGCCGAAAAAGAAAATATAAATATATTTACTAAACAAATATGTAAATAAAAATATTCGAAATTCCAGTTGAATCATCTTCATATATAATCAAATGTAAACCGGCATGTCGGTACGAGTTCAATTGGCTGAACTTACCTAGGTGCATTTTTACGTTATATTTAAACACATTACTTAAAGATATAGTATCGTAAGCATTTTATTAATTAACTTATGAAAATTCCAATATAAGCCACGTAATGTGTCTACAGATTAGAAATTTTCGAACACTGTTTACGAAATATCGCGGGTAGTTTAATGTAACTCTTATGTGGTTATTAATACTTAAATATCTTTCATCAATCGTTCATCTGTCATCATCTATACCTTCTTCAAACCACAAACCATTTTATTGTCATCACCATTTTTACAATCAAAATGTCTATTCTGTTTTTGTTATAATATAATATTCTACATTGAAAAGAAATTAAATCACTTCATGATTGTCTTTATGGCGTGTTAAAGTTTACATAAGTAATAATTAGTTGTTATCAAGATAATATATAGACAATAAATAGTGACACTGTGTGATACTAGTAATACGACAAATGCAATTAATAAAGTTCTAACCTACTAGCAGTTTTCCGCGGTTGTTCTAGCGTGAATTAGAATAAAAATTGAATCAACGCATCCTAGGGTATAATTTGTTCATGTACAAAATTTCATTCACATTCGTCAAGCTTTTTTATCTTCGAACTTCATCGTCGAACTTGAAATGACAAAAAGCTGACGGCCCACTTGATAGAAATTAATACGAACAGTATCATAAAGATCATATAGCATTTAATTATGCTCATGAAAAAATAATTTCTTCAAGTATCCAAACACTTAAACAAACAAATATACTTCTGAACGTTTAAATATTTTGATGAACAGTTTATACCAATTATTTATTTAATCATAGGAACTTGGAATTACAACTATTGTAACAAAATACAATACAAATCATGATAAAAAATAAAATAACTTACTACACACTCAGGAAATTATATTATTCTCACGCATATCCGGTCTAACTACGTCAGTAACTTTGTAAATATTAAATTCTAAGTGATACTCGTTTTAAACAAAATAAATACCCACCTGTATCTGTATATAAATATATTACACATACTCGGAAAGTAAATAGATGTAGTGGGGGAAAGATAGAGGACTAAATTATGACTATTACTGTTACGAATTAAGTTTATTCAATCATTGTAGATTTTGTTACTACATCCGCAGGAAAGACAAATATGGCAATATTGCTGTTTTTGGAATCATCACGTTTACGAGGAATTAATAGAGATTATGTCATGAAGCGAGGTATGAGCAGCAGCGTCCCTCTTAAAACATCTCTAAAAGCCTAACTGCAGTTGTCAACCCGTCTGCCAAGCGTGGCAACTACTGGTAAAACTCCCCTTATGAGAAAGGCTTATGTTCAGCAGTGGATAGTTAACAGCTAAAATAATAATAATGCCATGAAGATGTTCTCACCTGTGGGCAGGAGCGCCACAGTACCAACTCCTTCCGTTAGACCGCATTCAAAGTCGGGCAGCTCGAGTTGTTGACGATCGGCGTCTTACTGTCCGGCTCGACCCACTGAAACTGCGTAGAGATGTTGCATCTCTGTGCATCTTCTACCGAATTTATCATGGGGAGTGCTCTGAAGAATTGTTCGTATTGATACCTGCTGCAAATTTTCACCATCGTACAACCCGCCATAAACTAAAATTTCATCCCAACCATCTGGACGAGTGGCGGTCCTCCACCGTGCGTTTTTCAAGGCACTTTCTTCCTCGCACAACCACTCTTTGGAATCAACTTCCAGCAGCAGTATTTCCGAACCGATACGACAACATAACCTTCAAGAAAAGAGCATATTCCTTTTTAAAAGGCCGGCAGCACACCTGCAATGCCGTAGGTGTTGTGGGTGACCATGGGCGGCGGTAGTCACTTACCATCAGGTGAGCCGCATGCTCGTTTGCCCCCTGTGTTGTAAAAAAAAAAAAAATGAAGATGTAAATTATAATCTTTAACTTAATTCTGTCCACTGCTGGCTATAGACATTCTAAAGCAGACTTTTGAA